ATCTTCCTGCCTTAGTTTCTGGAGTAGCTAGGATCATAGATGTGTGCCACCTTGCTCAATACTACCAGAAATTTATTTTATTTTTCTTTCTTCTTTTTCTTTGTGTGTTTGTTTTTTAATATAGGGTCTTGTTGTGTAGTTTAGGTGGCCCCTGAATTAACTATGTAACCCTGGCTGGCCTCAAACTTGTGGTAATCTTCCTGCCACAGCCTCCTGAGTGTTGAGATTACAGGAATGCACCACCATGCCTGGCTTATTTTTAATTTTTTTGAGATAGGGTCTCATTATACAGTTCAGACTGGCCTTGAACTCACTATGTAGCTCATGCTGGCCTCATACCTACAGTGATCCTGGGCTGGTGAGATGGCTCAGTGGTCTAAAGCACCTAATTAAAACAAGATTAGCAAAGCATAGGGACCGCGGTTCAATTCCCCAGCACCACATGCCAGCCAGCCCCGCCCCCTGGTGGGCTGAGCTGGCCACACACACCTACAGTGATCCTTCTGTCTCCCACCACATCTGGCTTTACAGGAAATTCAAAGGAAAGATTATTCCCTATCTGTGGACATAGTTAAGAGAACCAACAAGGGCTATAGAGGCATCTGGGACTAACAAGAGCAGGGAGGTTTCACCACCTTCTCCTGATGAAGGAGAGAAGAGTGTGCCATGGAGCCCAGGAGAGCAGCAGGAGGCCAGAAAAGCACTCCCAGGGGTCCCTCTCCCACAGTCCCTGCCCTCAGAACTCTGCCTGTGCTTAAGCCAGCAGGCATAAGGTCAGGCGGGAAAGCCCAGAGTGATTTGTTCTGTAGGGGCTGCAATAGATGAACAACAGGAGGGCAAGAAACACAGAGCAACCAGCTCAGGCAGGCCGTGGCAGGGCAGGAACAGAAGCCAGGACTCACTGGCTCACACTCTGCCTCTTCCACTGCTCCCGTAGCATCACACACTCTTGTGTGTGGCTGTTGCCTTCCCTGGAGTGCCCTCATCACAGAAGGAAGCCAGCAGCCTCACACAGGGGCCCTCTGGGCCAAGCAGAGGCTCAAGTCCTTCTCTCCCCAGCTGGGATGTTCCTCATTGGGCCAGGGAGGCTGCCAGTGGTTCCCTGGCACAGCAGAGGAGCAGAGCCCTTTGCTTGTGTGCACTGAGTGCTCACATGCCTCCCTCTGCCAGGACTCCTGGTGCCTTCGCCAAGCAGCGCTGAGGCTCAGGGAGGGCTGTGTCATTCCTGGCTGTACGAGGTCAGGATGGTGCCTGACACAAAGAGGCGCACATCGGTCACTCAGTCACGGATCTCAAAAGACCTTCCTTTCCTCAGAATGCTGGGCTCTGATTCCATGGAGTGTTTTCCAGAAGCTTCCTTGCCTTCTGTGGCAGATAAGAATGTTGACACTGGCTTTTCAGCTTGGGCCTTGGAGGAAGATGACGGTTGTGATAATGTGGTAACATATTGGAGGTGCTGAAACATGCCAGGCACATAACAGGCACCTTTTCTTTTTCTTTCTTTTCTCCTTCCTTCCTTGCTTGCTTCCTTCCTTGCTTCCTTCCTTCTTTCCTTCCTTCCTTCCTTCCTTCCTTCCTTCCTTCCTTCCTTCCTTCCTTTCTTCCTTCCTTCCTTCTTCATTTTGTCTTTTTGAGACAGGGTCTCTCTACACTGTTCAGACTGGCCTTGAGCTCAAACTCAGAATGATCCTTCTGCCTCAGTATGCTGAGGGTTGGGATTACAGGCCACACTGGGCGAGAAGCATTTTCTATGCATTGTTTTGTTTCATACAATGTATCAGATACCTCTGGAACAAACCCTGGTGCTGCCTCACTCCAGCTCTACACAGGCTGCAAGCAACACCACACAGGTGCACCCTGGTGGTGTCTTGCCTCAGGCTGTGCCACAGTGTGTCCTCCCTCACTTTGGGAGTCCTCTGGTGCTTGTGCTCCATGCCTGGCTTTTACATTACCCAGGTGGTTTTGAGAGATTACTCAAATGCCTGTGGCAATGGCCAGCTACATCATGCAAGCTGGCATGGCTGCCCCTCCCTCCTGTTTCACTGCCCCATCCCCGCCTCAGGTTCCTATTCCAAAATCACTGATGTAATCTTTTGTCCCATGCTCTGCCTCTGGGGAGCCCAGGCTAAGCCAGTCTTTATAGTAGCCATGATAGAGGTATTCCTTTTGTTATTGTCCTTGGAAACAGGGTTCTTACCATGTAGCTCAAACTGACCTTGAACTCTTTTTATTTTCATTTTTATCTTTTTGATACAGGGTCTCCCTACTTAGTTCAGACTCACAGTGATCCTCCTGTCTCAGCCTCCCCAGTGCTGGGATTATAGCTGTGCATCACTATGCCCAGGTCTGGGGCCAGCACAGCATGCCTGGGGTTCTGAGACTGGCATGGTTTTTGGTACCAGGGATCAAACTCGGGACCTTGCACTAGCCAGGCAGGCGCTTATGCTCCAGAGCTATCTCCCCAGCCCATGACCTTGAACTCTTGACCCTCTGTCTCAGCCTCCGACGTGCATCTCCTCCTGTTTCATGCCTCCTCTCAGAAGTATTCTCTCAGGTTCTCAGGGGAAGAGACTGAGACTGAGAAAAGTTCACTAGTTTGCCACGATGGTACAGCGGATAAGGGTGAACTGTGAGAAATGCTCCTCTCAGGGAGTGGGAGAAAGTTTGCCAGTCACTGGCACTAAATCCAGACTCTGCGGTCTATGCCCAGTGTGCTACCCAGTATCTCTCAGATGGTGTAAAATGGGGACAGAACTACCCCACCTGGAGGACCTTAGTATACAGATCAGAGATCACAAAAGGAAAGACCTACTATGCGTAGTAGGTCAGGCTCTGTGCTAGGTGATGCGTCTCAGGGTGTTAATGTTTTGTTTTTTTTTTTTAAATTTATGTGTGTGTGTGTGTGTGTGTGTGTGTGTGGCCAGCTCAGCCCACCAGGGGGCGGGGCCGATTGGCATGTGGTGCTGGGGGATTGAACCGCGGTCCCTGTGTTTGCCAAGCTTATTCCAAGTAGGTGCTTTAGACCACTGAGCCATCTCACCAGCCCCGGTGTTAATGTTTTTTAACCCTGCCTCTACAGGGCAGGTGATTTTAGAGCTCAGGGTTGCAGCTAAAAGGAATTAGGTCTGAATGTGAAATGGTTTGTCAGAAGTCACACAGCAGCAAACGACAGACCCAGGATGAGGCCAGCAAGCCCGTGTGGAGTCTGTGGTCATGGTTTTTCCAGGACTGATCTCATAAGAGGCATCTAGTGAACAGGAATGATTTTCCTAAGCCTGCTGGGAAGATAGCCAGCATTTCCTTATTCCTTTTCCAGCTGATTGGCCCTGACCTCCCTCTGCTCTGTGACTCTGGCTCCAGGTCATGAAGGCCAGGTTGAGTCACAGCCTCCCTTCCCTCGGCTGCACTCAGCTCAGGCCTCCTTAGGTGGGCATAGGCCTGCAGCAGGGCCATTGGTCTCCAGGCAGAGATGGATGGGCAAGACCTTCAGTCCCTGCCTGGCTGGGGGAGGGGGTGGCTTCTCAGGCTGGTTTTCCAGGCAGAAGGGAGACTGCTTTGGCAGGATTCACAGCTCCGCCCTCAATGTCCTGCCTTGCCTGGGAGCTTGGGGCCCCATCCCGACCTCCCTCTGCTTCCCAGCTGCACTGAAGAGTTTCCCAGCCTCCCTCATTTCCTCCCTTGGGCTTCTGGTCTGCTCAGCCCCAGGCCCAGCCCTGCCCCCTATCCAGGCTCACCCCACCAGCCAGACTCCAGCTCAGCAACTGGAAAGTGGGGCTGGGCCCAGCCAGTGAGGGGGAAGCCTCTGCATTTGGAGTCAATCTAGGAGCTGCTGGGTGGGTAGAATGGGTGAGTGGAATCAGGAAGGACAGGAATGTATAGGTGGAGAGGGGGTAGATTGAGTGCCCTTGATTTGAGAAACAGGATTTAGTACCTACTATTGTTATCTGTGCGCTTAGTTTTGCCACCTACTGCCCCAAATTCTTTTTGTTGTTGAGGGGAGAGTTTTTGTTTTTTCATTCATACAAATATTGCTAAAATGATGCTTTTTTTTTATGTAACTGGGATTGAACTTGGGACCTTGTGCTTGCCAGGCAGGTGCTTATGCTGCTGAGCTATACCCACCGGCCCTTTTTTAGTCTTTTTGAGACAGGGTCTCAATCTGCAGTTCAGGCTGGCCTAGAGCTCACTTTGTAGCTCAGGCTGGTCTCGAACTTGCAACGATCCTCCTGCCTCAGCCTCCACAATGCTGGGATTACAGACCTAATCCACACCTTGCCCCTGAATTCTTTATCTGCATGATTTAGGCCTCCCTGTAGGTCTCTAGATGTTGTGACCTACGACTTACAAAGGGAAACTGAGGCACAAAGAAGTTACCAGGTCTAACTTAAGACACATGGAATTGACCACCAGGGTTTTGTTTTTTTTTTTTGCAGAGCCAGGGATTGAGTTTTTTTGTTTTTTGTTTTTTGTTTTTTTTTTCTTTTTATATATTTGATACAGGTTCTCACTACGCAGCTCAGACTGCTAGTGATCCTCTTGTTTTCAGCCTCCCCACTTCTGGGATTGCAGGCCTGCATCAGTGGCCTACTCAGTGCGCCTTGGGGCAGGCCGGCGTGGCATGTGGGCTGGGGATCGAACCTCGGTCTTTGGAGCTTAGTCTGCTGAGCTATCTCCTGGTCTTCCACCAGGGATTTGAACCTAGTGTAATCTGCTTTTCTTCTAAACCCAGGAGATGACGAAAGAGCTAAATTGAGAAACCTCAGAAGGATGGGACAACCTAAAGTGCAAAGAGGGGCGGCCCCAGAGGCCCAGGGCTGTGACTGTGTGTGTTCAGTGTCTCCGCCACCCCACCGGGTGCTGGGGTCAGGGCTGCGCTGGGGCCTCAGGCGAGGCGGCCACGAGGAGGCGGCACTGCAGGGCGGGGTGAGAGACAACAGGGGCCCTCCCTGAACAAAGACCTGGTGGGAGGTGGCCTGTGTCTCCCACCCCGCCTTCCCTAGCGCCTGCGGGGCCGCGACGACCACAGAAGGCGGCGAGGCGGGCGGAGGAGTATGGCCCGGCCCAGCGCGGCGCTGCCTTCCCTACTGCTGCGGCTCGGCTGCCTGGCCCTGGTGGCGGGCTGCGCTGCGGGAGGTGAGTCCGGTCAGGCTGAGCAGCGTGAGACTCAGACCGAGCTGCTCCGCCCGGCCTACCTGGTTGTCACCTCTCGCCCTCTCTCCTCCCTTGGGGAGAGGATGGGGAAACCTGGCTAAGGTGCAGGCTCGGGAGAGGAAGGGAGGAGAGGGGAGGGGAAAGAGCTCCTGCATCCCTCAAGGGCTTTGGCATCTGAGAGTCTGAAGTTAATTATTTGTCATGGGAAAGGAGAGAAAGGGAACTTGCGGTGGAGCCGACGTGGAGCCTCTTGGTCCCTCCCAGCAGGAGGAGGCAGGAATTCGGGGGCCCTGCGGGGAAAAGGGAGAAGGCCCAGAGGGGAGCTGGAGTGGGGGAGAGTTCCGTCGGAGCCGTGGGGTTGGTGCCACCTTCAGAAGAAGCCTTCGGGGAAGTGTCCCGGTCCTCGGTCCTTGGTCCTCATGCAAGGCTGCAGGAGGAGCTTCTACACCCCTAGTCGCTAACTGCTGCTGCAGCTGCAGGAGGGGGCGGCGTGCAGGACTCCCGAGCAGGGGGCCGAAATCCAGCTCAGTGGAGGGGTCCAGAGTCAGACCTTGCCCTAGAGCGCCCTCCTGTGGCTGGGGAGGAAGGCGGCACAGATGTTGATGTGCACAGGAGCAATAACCGGAAGCTGGGGGTGTGAGCTGGGGAGCTGAGCTCTACTGTGGCGGTGGAAATAGGGGTCCGCAGGGGCCCTGCCCTGTGTGATTTAGAAAGTTCCCACTATGAGGGAATGTCTGTAGCCAGCTGGGAGAAGACCAGAGGAGGGGTGGGTTAGGGTACCTGGGGGACATCAGAGACTGATGGGGTGGGGAGGGTGCACAAGAGGGATGCAGAGTTGCACATGACTTAGGTAATTGGGTCCGTGGGACCACATTAACCAAACCAAATAACGTGGGTAAAGCAGATTTGGGACCAGAGCCCCCCTCTCCTTGGTGATGGCAGGGCTGGCAGAAGCAGCAAGTTACATTTCCCTGCCTCTTGGGCACAGAGAAGTGAGAAGCCCTCCAGCCTCACCCATCCCCAGGCTGGCTGAGCTGCTGCTTGGGAAAGGCCACTCCTCTCTCTGGGCCTCTGGCTTTAACCTTCTCAGGGCCCTCCACTGCCCCATCCCCACCCAGATATCTGTGGGGAGCGACCCCTGGGGTCTACCTGCCCCACCCACACATTGCTTTCAGGAGAGCAGGATGGAGGCAAGAAGGTGACACTGGCCTTTCTCCAGCCCCAGGCTTGGCTTTGCCTTCCTTCCTTCCTTCCTTCCTTCCTTCCTTCCTTCCTTCCTTCCTTCCTTTTTGTGATACCAGGGATTGAACTCAGGCCCTTGCGCTTGCCAGGCAAGTGCTTCTTCTACTGAGCCATCTCCCCAGACCCCTAACCTACTCCCCTGCCCCCTCAGCCCCAGGTTTGAACTCAGATGTCCTCCTTTGTTTCATACAGTGTCATCCAGACCAGGGACAGCCTGTCTTCCTTGGGCCTGGGTGCTGGAAGCTAGTGGAAGCTTTGCCAGCCCTCTCCCAAATCCTTCAGGTCTCAAGTTAATTATTTAACTTACCCATGTAGAGCCCCAGACCCATGGCCACAGGCCTAGGAAACAGTGGTCAGGCTGGAGGTGGATGGGGGTAAGCACTGCTCCTCCCTGAGCCCCTTGTGCCACAGTGGTGCCCTTGCTGACAGGTGCAGAGGGTGGGGTTACTTTCCCTGAATTTTGGCCTATGTTGGCTTCTGGGGTCTCCCAGCATGACATATCAGGGCCACATCAGGTTCCTAGGCCACTATTCACTCTGCAGGATGGATGATCTGGTCTTCTTATAATAGGAGTCATCACGGAGTCAGCCAGGGAGACCCTGGTCTGGGTACTGCTCTATGTCCCCACTGGTCAGAGACCCTGGAGCTCACATTGACAAGAAAGGAAAGCTGGTCTGGACCACTTTTGTCTACATGGGGCTTCCTTACATACTTGCATGCCCTGCCCCAGCTTTCAACTGTCACAGACCTAGTTGGGCCTGGTGGCACACACCTGTAATCCCAGCACTCAGGAGACTGAGGCAGGAGGATTGCTGAGGGTTTGAGACCAGCCTGGGCTATATAGTAAGTTCAAGGATATCTTAAACTATAGGGGGAGACCCTGTCTCAAAAATAACAAAACAAATCTACAAAACCCAGACCATGTCCCCTTTGCTGGATGGTGGAATACATGACACTCCGCTGCATGGTTCAGAAGACTGAAGTAGCCCTTGCCCTCTGGTGACTCTTGTGCCCTTCAGGTGGGGCTGTACTCAGGGAGCTGCCTGGGCTAGCTGACACCCATGACTACCAACGCCAGGCACCTACCCGCTCCTCAGACCTGGGTGGCAGCCCCCAGAGACAGTGGCAACCCTTGGAAGAACGGCTGAGGCAGCTGGAGGCTGAGGTGACCATGCTCAGAGAGCAGGTACTACAGATGCAGGACTGCGTGTTGGGGTGGGTGGGCTTTTGCATACTAGGAGGAGAGGGTTTGAGGGGGCTCTGGGGCCCGTAAAATAATTTCTTTTTCCTTTTGCGGAACTGGGGATTGAACTCAGGCCCTTGTGCTTGCCAGGGAAGCACTTATTCTACTGAGCCATCTCCCCAGCCAATAATTTTATTTTTATTTTTATTTTTTTTAAGCTAAATGGTTGATGCTAGTCTTTTTTTTTTTTAATGTGTGTGTGTGTGTGTGTGTGTGTGTGTGTGTGTGTGGCCAGCTCAGCCCACCAGGGGGCGGGGCTGGCTGGCATGTGGTGCTGGGGGATTGAACCATGGTCCCTGTGCTTTGCTAAGCTTGTTCTAAGTAGGTGCTTTAGACCACTGAGCCATCTCACCAGCCCCAATAATTTCATTTTTAAAGCACACAGAGAAGGTTTCACCTGAACAGTCCTTAACATCTGTTCTTTCATGAGTGAAGAATCTTCGGGCATTTGTTGTCTGTCTGGCTTTCCACCCCCTTTCGTGATGGCACCCTACTCTGTACAAGGCACTGGGTGGGGACAGGTCCCCCTTCTGCCCAAGGATGGCCTTGTGCTCCCTAAGAACTATTAGAAGTGGATGTTGATGCAGGGAGACCCACCTCTTCCGGTGGGAACTCTCTTCCCACCCTGCTTCAGTTTTTGCACCTCACAAATCCATGCGGAATGATGGGGAAGGCTGAGCTGTAGCCCTACCTCTCCCCAGAACAAGGACCTGTGGGCCCAGGTGAGGCAGCTGGAGTCCTGTGAATGCCGCCCCACCTCTGCCCAGTGCTGGGGGCTGGAGCGCGCCTGGCCTGAGGGTGCTCGCTGGGAGCTAGACGCCTGTACCTCCTGCATCTGCCAGAATGGGGTGGCACGCTGTGGCCCTCAGCCTGACCTGCCTCACTGCCAGGGTTAGTGCCACCCCATCACCTGCTGGGCGACTTCGAGGCCTGGAGATGATACCAGGGCCTGAGTGCCACACTGTCTCCTCCTCAGGCTGCAGCCACAATGGCCAAGTCTATGGCAATGGAGAGACCTTCTCCCCAGACACCTGCACTACCTGCCACTGCCTGGTGAGTCCCTGTGACCCACCGGGTGTCCCATACCTGCCCCCTCGCTCCTCCCTCCAGCTGCCTGCCACTAAGAGCTGTGATTATATCATTTTTTTTGGGAGGAGTGTGGTTCTGGAATTTGAACTCAGGACCCTGAACTTGCCAGGCAAGCACTGTGTCACTGAGCTACCCCCCAGCCTCATTATTGGATCTTCAGTGATGGGTTCTACCCACCCTTCCCCTCAACCTTGCCCCTAGTGGTCTTGGGCTGATTCTTACGGACTTTCTGACATGCATCCCACCTCCAGAGGCCCCAGACCCCTGATCTGGCCCAGGCAGATAGTAGCATGGAGGGCAGAGGATGTAGGCGCTGTCTTCCATCAAGCCCCAACTTGTATGACCAGCGCTGTTCTCACCTCGCGCCATCACCATCTCCCATTCCCATCTGCCCCCTTTCTGTCACTTGCCCCACAGCCTTTTCTTCTGGCTTTTTCTTTCTCACTCCTCAACTGAGAAAGCCTTGCTTTTCTTCCCTGGATCACTACATGCTGGGGAAGTTGCTGGCACCTGGAAAAGAGGGTTCCCAGGGGTCAAGGGCTTCAGGAAGGAGGGGGTAGGGTGGGACAGCTCTTTTCTGCCCTTGGGCTCAGGTAGCCCATTTATCTGATGCCTCTGGACAAGTTTCTGCCTAGCAGAGTCTGGAAGGCCCTGCAGTCAACCTAGCCTGCTTTCACAGGAAGGGACTGTTACCTGCACCCAGAAGCCATGCCTAGGAGCACCCTGCCCTGAGCCCGGAGCATGCTGCCCGCACTGTGAGCCAGGTCAGCCTGCTACTGGCCTGGCCCCCCTCCTGCTCATGTTCTGAGGGACCTGAGAGTGGGGGAGTGGGAGAACCCCATGACCATGCTGAGCGAGTACAGAGCCAATGCTGGAACCAGCAAATGCTGGCCCTGGCCTGCGACCATGTGAGAGCTTATTGGGCCCTTAGGAGGCATCTGGTGTAGTCAAGAAGCTAAATTTACAGCTAATCTAACACAAGATTTAAAATCTAAAGAACAGATTAAGATGCTCAGAAGGCAATACATGCTTTGCCAGAGGAAGGAATGGGAGGTCAGGGGCGCCCATGAGAGCAGCCAGTCAGTCAGGGAGGTGAGAGGAGGCATACTTGGGGTCCCTTTGCACAGGAGCAAGGCACTGAGAAATATGTTCCAAGAATCAGTCTGGGGCGGTCAGTGCGGACAAGCTCTTCTAGGCCCTGTGGTTGGACTTTCTTTGTGGGCAGTAGGGAACAACTGAGGGCTGAAGAGCCAGAGTGTGGCACGCTGAATAGAATGTTCAGGAAGATTCAGTTGCTGTGGGCTGGATGCAGACAGGCCGGAACCAGGGATGGTAGGAGGCAGCTGGGGAGGTGTTTCCTTTCCTTTCCTTTCCTTTCCTTTCCTTTCCTTTCCTTTCCTTTCCT